CTTGCAACATGCACTGCCAAGAAGTCACAGCCAGCCCATATATTTTCAGGGTAAATATCCTCCAAGGTCTGAAAAGAAGCTCTTCATAACCTGGAAAAGCTCAGCTAGATAGCATTGCACAGACAATGGTGGTGAAGAACTAAGCTCACTTTACCACCACTGTTGCCACAGAACAGGCATACCTGCCTCCTGATTTGAATAGGTTCAGAATATAGTGGGCATGTCATGAAGGGCAATTCCTGATCTTGCCTGTGTATGTTCTCATTTTGGACTCTTGACACCGGCACCATTTCTCCACAGTAGGTCGCCAACCTCCTGGAGGGGCCTGGTGATCTCTCAGTATTACCACTGATCTCCAGACTACAAAGATCCATTCACCTGAAGAAAATGGCAGCTTTGGAAGGTGGACCCTCTGGCATTATACCCTGCAGAGATCCTTCCCTTCCTCAAACCCTGCTCTCCCCAGGGTCCATCCTCAAAATTTTGAGGAATTTCCCAGCCCTGAGTTGGCAATCAGCATGGAAGTTTTACTTGTTATCACTGGTTCCAGAGTTTCTGCCCTGCTGTACTAGCTCTCTTGAGAGGAAAGAAAATGAAGTTATTTCACAGAATACCGCTCATGCCATGAGATGGCTGAGTCCTGCTCCAGAACGCTGCCAGGCAGGCAGGCAGGCTGGTGAGATATAACCCTTGTAGCGCTCCCTCACAGGTGCGTGGTGTCTGTAGTACTTCTCATAACCACATCTCTCCCTTCCTGTACCCCTTCTAGGATAGTCTGACTCTGCAGTCGCGCTCTCTGCAGTAGCGCTCCCTCACAGGTGCGTGGGGTCTGTAGTGCTTCTCATAACCACATCTCTCCCTTCCTGCCAGTTAAGGAATGCAGAACAATAAGCAGTGAAAGGATCAACCCCCCCTCCCCAACTTTTAATTTCTAATCTCCCAGAGTGCTTGTTCAAACAGAAGTGCTGCCAAGTACCTCTTTTGGCATACCTTGAAAAAGTATTTGTAAAAACAAGGCTTTTTCATAATTTGTGTATAAACCTATTTCGACACAGAAGGCACGACGTCTCCTTTTCCCATATTCCTTTCCATGAACGATAGACAAGCCCTAGATTGTTAACAGAAATAACATCTTGAAAAGATTACTATTTTGTTTCTGGTCATTTCCCTCCTGACTTTAATAGAGTCAGCACAATGCTTTCCTGCATGGATGCAGAAAAGAAACCCAGAGGCACAGCAAAGCTCTGTCCCCACCCTGCCCTGACTCCTGGTCAGTACTGGGAATGGAAGGTTCTGAGTGGCATTCATAGCCCTGTCTAACTAATAAAATTGAAGTCCAGTGGGATCTTAAAAGCCCTACAACATTTGTTCCACCATGAGCTTTTGTCATTCAGCACTGGATTAGCCTTTAAGGTGCCATGGGGATTCTGTTGTATATTGCTACAATGGACTAACATGGCTTCCCCTCTGGACCTGTTTAACTTGTCTACCTTAACATTAAAAAGCTAAAGGTTTCCCTTGCTCGAAAGCTAGTCGAATCCGACTCTAGGGGGCAGTGCTCATCTCTATTTCCAATCCGAAGAGCCAGCGCTGTCCGAAGACATTTCCGTGGTCATGTGGTTGGCATGACTAAACACCGAGGTGCACGGAACACTCTTACCTTCCCATGGAAGTGGCACCCATTTATCTAAATTTCTTGCTTTTGAACTGCTAGGTTGGCAGGAGCTGGGGCCAGAGATGGGAGCTCACTCCATCACGTGGCTCTAGGGTCTCAAACTGCCGAATTAGACCTTCCAGTCTGCAGCTCAGCGTCTTAACCTCTGAGTCACCACAGCCTTTCCACCTTAACATTACCAGTATCTTTTAAAATTATCAATAGATAATTAAATTTTACAGCGTGTGAACAACTGTGTCCATTATTAATTGTATATTTCCTCCATTCTGATCTGCTTTTATATTGAGGGAATCTTCAGAAACCCCTTTTCTCACAGAACAAGAACTGGTGGGCACTCAATGAAATTAATGAGCAGTAGGTTTAGAACAGATAAGAGGAAGTACTTCTTCACCCAAAGAGTAATTAACATGTGGAATTCCTTGCCACAGGAGTGGCAGCAGCTACAAGCAGACAGCTTCAAAAGGGGATTGAATAGAGACCTGAGTGTGCTGCATGACGGAGTGAGCTCCCGTCTCTAGTTCCAGCTCCTGCCAACCTAGCAGTTCGAAAGCAAGAAATTGCAAGTAGATAAATAGGTACCACATCGGTGGGAAGGTAACAGCGTTCCGTGCGCCTTGGTGTTTAGTCATGCCGGCCACATGACCACGGAAACGTCTTCGGATAGCGCTGGCTCTTCGGCTTTGAAATGGAGATGAGCACCGCAACCCTAGAGTCGGATTCGACTGGCTTTCGAGCAAGGGAACCTTTACCTTTACCTATAGATGAAACACTATGTCTGGGGCAGAAATGCTCTGTATTCTTGGTGCGGGGGGGGGGGGGGGGGGTCTGGGGGCCTGCAAAAGATGTCCACCCATGTGGAACAGTATTCAGTGTCAGCAGTTCAGTTGCTGCTGCTGGTCACATGGGGGCTGACTGGCGGATGCAGACCCAAGAAAATCTTTCCCCTCTGCTTTCAGTTTTTTGATCTTGACCTTGGTCAATCTCTCTCTCCCTCTCCCCCCCCCCCCCCCGCACTTTTGCTGTGTTTTTATCACCTCTCCACTGCTTCTCTGGCTTCCTCTGCTCCTCCAGTTCTTTAACTCTTTTTTTGCCCCAACATTCTTTTTTTCTGCTGGCTCTTCCTCCTTCTGGGCTAACCTAGCAACGTCACCTCTCCCCCTTCCCCACCAACTCCTTCTTCCTTCCCCTAATTCTGATTGCTGCCATGTCTGCAAGCCCACTTGTTTGAAGGGCCACTACCTCCACCTGCCTGGCTTGGCCTCCATTCCTGCCAACCTTCTCCCTCTGCCCCCATCACCTCTATCATCTTCTTCCTGACACTCCTGGCAGCAGCACCTTCTAACTGCTGTTAGTTTTGACTGTTTGTAGGGCACAATCCTCAAAATTGTGGCTGAGATCTCATGAAGTTTCATGAGATATAGGTACATGAACGTGTTAAACATTTTCCTGTGGCTTTATTTGGGGGATTTTTGTAGAAACCTCAGGGCTGTTCCAGGTTTGTACGAACATTCCTGCAATGATGATGTTAGTCCTAGAGAATTCAACATCTTTCCCTTTTAAATAAATACCCTTAAAATTTACCTAGCAAACATATCTCCTTCATTCAGCAAAAGCAGGCCTTAAATGACCTGGTATGTCTACTTATGACCCTGCTCTAGAAACATGTACTCTGATCTCAGTACATGAGTCCTATTTATATAGTTGTAATATGAACTTAACCATAACAAACATCGCATACATACAGCTGTTAAGGAAATTAAATTAGCCAGTGGCTGCAACTTCCATACTTTTCTCTGCTTTCAGCTGGTGACCTTGCTTACTAAAATTTAGCAATGTAGGAACAATACTTAAGAGTTTTGTTAGACATATGAATGTAATGCAGTAGAGGAATATCAAACTCTCCTTGTCTTAAGATGCTTTATAGCAGGGTTCTCAACACTGCTTCAGCAAAAGCTGTATTTGGAGGGCAATGGTTGGGGAGGTTGGGATGGCATTTCCAAGGTGGTGCACTAGGCTGCCTCCCCTAGTCTCTATGGTCTGTATTCCAGAGCATCAGTATATGGAGGCCTTTTTTTCTCCCACTCCACAATTCCTCGAGAGTTTTAAATTGGGGCTAGTAACTCCCTGCCTGTTTGGGTAACTGGGAAGTAGTATGACATAAAATCGTATGCTTGAGATTGACACTGCTTTGCGTTAGTCTTTCAAAATAAGCATTCAAATATTTCTCATAGAAATAGCCGAACAATACACCCAGATAGCAGAACAGGAGGAAATATTTGCAAAGGATTCATAGTATTTTCCCATGGAAAAAAGTTCAAAATGCCTACCTTGCCATAATCTTCCTTGATGTTCATTGGACTAACAAAAATGTAAATATCCTGTCACAACTGCCAGTAACTGAGGAGCAAACCCCATCAATTATAGTACAGAGTACTTATTACAGCTATATGGCTTCCTTCTCTTGCCCTAGAATTCAAAACTGGCTCAACACTTGACTTCCTGCCACTCTTAGCTATCAGCTGCTAGGCATCTATGTTAGCAAAATGGTTAAATGTGTCATCCTGCATCTAGGAGCCCAAGTTGCTGAAACCTGGTTCTATAAGACTTTCACTGTAAAGATAAACATCTTATGCTCGCTTTGGGTAACAATCACAACCAAAAACTCAGAGGGGATTTGTATAGCTAAGGCATAAGTCTGAACAGTGAGACGTGATGTTGGATAATTAAGATGTCTTGACAACTGATTTCAAACTACGACTTACATTAAGTTTACGGAGTATCTATGGGCTAGTCTCTATATCTTAGCTATAACCCATATCACAGGCCTGTTATGAGGTTACAATGTTGAACTCCTCCCAGAGCAGGATATAAGAAATGTAAAAGCAAACCTTTCTAAAACAAAGTTCCACGTAACTCTCTGCCACATAAGAGTGTTGAGAACTGTATTCCTGCATTGGAAATCAAAAGTCTCTTAGCACGGCAGGAGTTTTAGATTACATATGTGAAACGGCATCCTGTGGTGTGAAGATACTACCAGCAAGAGGATCTGTGAGCCTTCGAAAAGAAAACTGAAAGAAGTGACAGAAAACTCTCTTGCACTGAGGTTATGTATTTCAGCTTTACATGAAATATTTTATATATAAAACTCTGTTAAGTGACTTTTTTCCAATTTAAAAATCTAAAGAATTCAAAAAATAAGGCATTCAATATTTTGAAAAAGTACAGATTTACAAAATATGTATATTCTGTCATGAAAACTTCACACCAACATTATACACTTTGAAAAAAATACAAACAGGATATATTACAAATTTATGTAGCAATAACTTAAGTCATAACATGCAATAAAAAGTACATTAATCAAGGTACACAAGCGTTTAGAGTTTTGAAACTGAAGGGCTTTTTTGCAAACACATCTGTATGCAAGTCAAACGTGGCACTTGAGAAATTCTGGTAGCATTTCCTATCGCGAGTTAAATTGTACATGATGATTATGTGGATGAAGTTAATGAAGGAAGTCATTTCTTATGAATCATTCCAACTTTGTTCAACAATAGCTGAAACTCTTTTTTCATATTCTCGTTTGTTTTCCTGATAAAGTTGTGCAGCCTGACTATTGGCAGGACTATTTGGATTGGGTTCATCAAGCAGCGACTGAAGGGAGAGAAAGGAAAGAAAAAATAAATTAAATGAAAGCAAACAGATATTCATTTTTATTCAAATGCTGACAGCAATCTTAAGCAAGTCTTCTCAGAAACATGCTCAGATCTAAACCCTGGAAAGAATGATATAATGCTGGATGGCAAGGTGAAGATCTTGAAGGAAACTGTGTTCCCCATTTTCAACAGGGTTTAGCTGAACCATGCTGACTCAGTTAAGAGCCTAGGGACCACACTAGATCCAACATTACTACTTGAGAAGCAAGTTAATGCAGCTGCAAAACATGCTTTCTTCCAACTCAGTGGAAGCCTAGAAGATGGCCCCCTACCCTGACATGGCCAATCGGGCTACCAGAATCCATGCCACGGTGACATCAAGACTAGACTACTGTAATGCACTCCATACTGGTTCCCCCTCAAATTCAATTCAGAGCCAAGTTGGCACAGAACATCACAGCTCAGTTATTATTAGCTGATAGGCAGAGCATGCATATTACTCCAATCCTGCAGTCACTCAGTTACAAGTTCAATTCAAGCTATTGTGTATCACATATAAAACCCTTCATGGCCTTGTCCCTCATAGCTGTGGAACCGCCTCTCCTCCTATGCTCTGCGAGAACAGCTTTGCTCATCTGGGCAGCACATTCTGCAGGTGCCACCTTGCAAGTGGGCAAAATCAACAAATGCCATACACTTGCATTCCCTGCTGTAGTCCCCATTTTATGGCATGGCTGATGAGGTCAGCAAGGCTTTCCACAAACTATGCAAAACTGAATTATTCAAGAAGGCTTTTTTACACATGTAATAGAGCCGTTTTTGCTTAATTTGCTTAAATTAAGCAAACTCCGGAGCACGACGGAAGACAGGAGGGCCTGGCATGATGTGGTCCATGGGGTCGTGAAGAGTCAGACTCGACTGTGCGACTGAACAACAACAATAGTAGAGCTGTATTGTAACACAATGGTTCAGAAAGATGCTTGAGTGAAGGGTTAAGGACTGTGGACTATGCTACTGTGTATAGCTTGTACAGGCTGTTGCTTTAAGTACAATCTTACTATGTAATTTCTGCATTGTTAAAAGTATCACACTTATGCTTTGTTTAGATTTCTGCAATCCAAATCCTACAGTAATGTTTATTGGCTGTCCCATCCTGTTCATTGTATTTACTTACACACTATGTAATCTGCCTTGAGTTTCAGTAAGAAAGGCTGAGTATAAATAATGTAGATAAATATTCAATGGAGCTTACTCCTAAGAAAGTATTCTCAGGATAGACTTTGATCTAGAACCCACTTACATGGGGTAAACGTGCACTGACAGTTACACCAACAATCTGACCAAAAGTAGAATAATGTAATGTTTGGGGGTATACACTTATTTATTTAAAACATTTTTATGCCACCTTTTCACCCAATCAGGCTCAATAAGGAAGTGAACATAAAAACATTAAAACATCCATCCAGAAAATTAAAAATGGTTTAATTAAACAATTAAAAACAATTACATATAGGCTGAGCCCTAATTGCTGTAGTTTCTTGTTTGTTTCCTTGAAACTTTACACCACAGTTAAACCCTCCTCCTAAGCTCCCTGAAATTAAACAAAAAAAATCAGATTCTGCTTAAGTACAATTTCGTTACATTCAAGTTTCTGATAAAGATGAAGCATCTTGATTAGAGTCGAAATAATTCATACTATACTGTAGCTGGGTATTAAATTGATAAGCACTTTCTCCATCATCTTTGGAGAACAGTATGTTGTTTGCTTATGTTACCTGAATTGAGGTTAAAATAGATGAGACATCATATGTTGGACTCCAGCGATTTTGAAGGATATCTAAACATATGCTACCATCTGCATACACTAAAACAAAAGAATGTTTAAAAATTAACAACATGTATCATAACTGAGCACAAAATCAATCCTGATAAGAGTTCAGCATTTCAATTCATTTTTATCTCAACAGTTTGCAGCCTTGGCCGAGGACAAGGCTGCAGTCTTAAACACAATTACTAGAAAGTATGTTCCAGTGACATTAGGGGGACTCTGCTCCAAGTAAACATGGACAGGATCGGGCTGCACAATGTGTTTCTGAGAACAGTCTTTTCAGATGACTCTTCAAAAATTCTGCAATTTGTCGTTAGATCTGTGTGGGTGAAAGTCTGGAGGTTACTGCCTTTGTGTAAGCCCATGAAGGGCAATAGGTCACCTCACACAGACAGCATCTAATTATCTGTATTTCACATTGTATGGGAAGAAAATTATGGTGTAAATTTAGTTTGCCAGATTCAAAACTTAGTAAGAAACTTGACTTGCTAATTAATTAGGCTGTTGGAAGCTCATGACCCACAGTGCTTATGATACAGAGTCAAGAGAGAACGGTGTGATCTAGAGGCACTAGTTTTCCTTTGCTCTCTAGAAACACAAGGAGCATCCTATACCTAACCAGCTCCTAGCAACAGGAAAATACGTGTCAGACATCAGAAAGGTTCTTTATGCAAATGTGCAGGCTAACACATGCACAACAGAACAGTTAACATTTTTCTCCCACAGAGCATTCCTCTTTTTAATTGAGAGTCTGTAGACAGGATGTCTCTTTTTTAACCTTTACACAAGGATCAGGTACCTTAGAAATAGCAAATCTCTGGTTCACCTTCCCTCCCTCCCGCCCCACCCCCAATTAACGCACTTCAAACAGCATATTGAAGCATCTTAGGCTGCAGGAAAAACTGTGCACAGGGCATGTGAGTCTCTAAACTGGGACCTGATGACTTCTCGAAGAACTGAATCAGTACTTGAGAGCACCAGGTCTTAAAATAATACACTGTACATGAAGAACAGAGTACCTCATTTCAAGACAGATGACTAAAAAGAAACTGCACAGTAAGTAAAATTCACGCAACAAAGCTTACAATGTCAGTATTCAAGGCTATGCTGATCACCGGTTAAAAGGATAGGTGGTACAATGTTTATAAATAAAGTCACAAAAACTACTTTCCAGAATCACAACATTGTTTTTCACAGGACTGGGTAAAAGGATAGATAAGGTATTGGGGTGTGTATTTGTATTTATTGTAGATTTTAACCTGTTGTTCACCACCCTGAGCCCTCTGGGGAAGGGCAGTCTATAAATAATAATAATAATAAGAAGAAGAAGAAGAAGAAGAAGAAGGAGGAGGAGGAG